TGTAGGCATGGCCCAAGTGAATAAATATGTATTCTTCAATTATTTATTCTTGATCTATTCTGTATCTATTGGTTCCTGATGCTGATTGGACCGTGTCGCGGTCCTTCCCAACCTCTTCACCTGCAGGCATGGCCCAAGTGAATAAATATGTATTCTTCAATTATTTATTCTTGATCTATTCTCTATCTATTCACAATATATCTTTTTATCTATCTTTATCTATTCTCTATTTGTTTTCATTTTCTTGGTCCATGCTGCAGAGGACGCCAATTGTGAGCCAGATATGAGATGTATATATCGTCGAATCGGATCCGGATACTGTTGTGGAGCAGCAAGTCGTCGCGTGGATGATCGAACATTGATCCTTTTAGTCAGCATAGTAGGTGAGTGTTCTGGATGAACTGGCGATAACGTATTAGGTAAAAGGACTCGCTCACTTCTCCTCATCAAAACTCGATGAACTTGGTTCTTTAAACCCTTATCATCCTGCATTTTTTGTGTTCTGAAAGTCTTAAAATGTTCTACTTTTTGAAAGTTACTGAGGCCTCTGGAGAGTTGAATAATGAAAATAAATTAGGTGAAGCTATAGAATAAATTAGGTCATGCTGGATTCTACTATGCTATATCTGACACGTTGTAGGGTGTTGATTGTTGAGGGTTCAAATAGCATTAGATCACATGGAAAGGTCAAAAAGTGTGCCATATGTGCCACGCCAAGATGTTAAGGGTTAACTTCCATGGAACTGAATATTTTATTAGATATTGACATCTTGTTCCTAGATCTTGTTTGATTGCGTCCATGCATTATTCTCATATTATGATTACTTTATTAGTAGAGGCATATGAAGTAGGTTTATTTGTATGATTTCTTTAAACTCCCCAATTATTTTTCTTTGATCATACTCTCCTACATTTATAAAACCACCATAAGTCGATTGCCTTGATTCTTGGCTATCGTAGGGTATTTCAAGATGAGCCTGTTTTTAATTCTCAAATTATTGCCCAGGTCTCCCATTGCCACGGCGCGACGTGCCTGTTGGGACGTGGGCCGCGTAGTGGTCGAAAGAGCTATCCAGGTTGATACCGAGTTCAATGGATGAAGACTGGCAGTTTTCTATTCACCTGAGGGAGATTATTTTCCCAGTAATTAGACAATGTTCAACTTTCTCAGGAAAAAAGGTAAGAGAAAGGAGAAGGAAGTGAAAAGCGGACAAACGATCCTGCGAAGGCTCGCAACTTCATTTTAACTCGGCGCTCTGCTTAAAACGAGGGATGAAAGGAGGAAAGATTATAGTCCTTTCTTAAATTTGCGCTCGGTCGCCGACCAATTTTCGAGCCGGGAGCGAAGCCGCGAAAGGAGCAACGAGAAAGGGGCGGCGTCGGGCCCGGAGCCCCCACAGCGAGCGGGATCAAAGAGCGAGGTGAGGTACATAAACGGGAGAAAATTAAAACAATAGATATTAGCGCTCTCTGCTGAGATAATTCATTCCCAGGTTCCGTCGCGCGTACCTACGCCTGTATGTAATTTAACCAATTGCACGGGATTCCGGGCGTTGTCGTATCGAGTTTTTCCCTTGACCTTTTGGTTGGACCTCATTTTGAAATGAGGAACTACTATTTCGGGTTTTTATTTTGTTGTTGTTGTTGTTGTTTTAGGCTTTATATTCGGGGGATACTGCGGCCTTGGAAGGGATCTGAAATTAGAAAGAAATTTAGGTTGTAATTAGAGCTGGGATGAAAGGGTGGGGGTAGGTATCATAATAGGTCTAGGGATTTGTGTTAGTTTTCTGTGGGAGAAAAGGGGTTAGTAATGAGGTTTTATGAAATTACTATTTCGGGTTAATTCATAATTGCATCTAGGTATATGAGACGGAAAAATTCAAAAGAGAGAGGAGATGGGATAGCAGAGTGAGGAAGAAGAAAAAGAAAAAGAGTACATATGGGAGAAAAATGAGGGGACAGAAGAAAAGGAAGGTGCGGAAAAAAAGAAAGGAGAGTTGCAAAGGAATTACAGAAAGAGGAAGAGGTAGAAAACAGGCGAAAGAGGAAGAGGAAGAGGAGAGGGTCGGAAAAGAAGAAAAAGGGGGGAAAAACTAGGAGTGGAAATATTAAGAAAGAGGAAAAAAAAGAGTAAAGAGAGGTTAAAAGAAGAAGTAAAAATAAAATAGTGGAGGAGTATAGAGGTTAGGAAAGAGGAAGAAATGAAAGAGAAAAACCATGTCGAATAACAAAGCAAAAAGAGGAAGAAGACTCTGAAAAAAGGAAGATGAAAAGGGAGAAAAGGCTGAAAAAGAGGATAAGGAAAAAGAGAAATACGAAGCAGAAGAAAAAGGACAGGTCCAAGTAGGAACATTAATTAATAGCACTTAAGTTGTTTTTAAAATGAGTCTAAACTATTTGTACCTTATCGCAAAATGCAGTTCAATTTTTCGGATTCAACGTTCAAGCGTTCGATGGCTAAATTCTAAGATCTCTTGGTCCAAGAATGAAATGAATAGAATTTTCGAATTGTTTTTAAGCACTTTTCACATTTTGTAAGGAAAGAGAGAAGCACTCTGCATACAAATCGATGGTTTGTCTGGAAATTTGCGTCGCTTCCTCACAGGACGCTGCTAAATTTCCTTTAATTAAATACAAATTTTTGGGGTTATTCGCGAATGGTTTTCTTCTAATTCTACAAATCAATTCATTCAAAATTGGATATAATAAAACTAAAAATTACGAGAAAATATATTCATTACCCTCCTATAAAATTGTTATCGAGGAAAATGTACACACCCGAACGTTCATACGAAGTTTTTCCTCAGCATGGCAGATTTTTTTTTTCTTCATTAAGAATCGGCAACATCACATAGGGTGAGTAATGGACGCTGACTATCCCAGGAACCGGCGCCCGCAAAATAATTTCGAAAAGAGGCGCTTTTATGCACGTGACCCACATCGCGGAGACAAAAAACCGACCCCTCCCTCCGGAGTCACCACTCGACACACCTGATGACCCCTGACCACCTCTCCTCTCGATTCTCGATCCGGTCCGAGAGCTCGGGCATTGAGGCGGTGAAGTGTAACCTTCTCACCACCCTGACCTGGCCCTGGGTCCGCGCGTTTTTCAAAGGTGTCGATTCAATTTTCCCGCGGTTCTTTGCCTATTTTTCTGCGTTTTTGGAGCTGGCATGGAGCGAAGCGCACTCTCGCCATACGTGGGTCAAGAGGGAAACCTTGCCTTGCGCCCTTGCTTTCAGTTGAATGGTATTGACCATGGCACGTTTAAAAAGAAAAAGGAGAAGAAGAAGAAGAAACGGCGGAGGCGTCAGGTAAGAATTGGCAACAGCGGTCGTTTAGTTGTGGGGTGAATTTGTAGCGATTCGACAGAAGCGATTCGATCAGGAGAGAATATTTTCAAAATAGCGCTACCACATACATAATATTGTTTAAAAAACAAAAAAAGATGCTGAAATAGATTTTTGAAAAAATTTTCAAACGTGGAAAGAAAAATAGTTTGTAAAACTATTTTGTTTGCAAAATTTGTTTGCAAAGTTTGATGACAATTTTCCTGTGAATATACCTATAACGAGACACACACACAGATACCCTCCACCTTTCACAAAAAACCTTAGAATTCTTTACATCGAGATACCCAGCTGATTTTGCTAAGATACTGGACTCGATTCTCATTTTCACCTGGAATCAATATACCTTCACAAGTCAATTTTGGTTGTTTTTTCTCGAGAAAAACTTTCTGAAGTTCCTTACGTATCAAATCAACTGTGAACGTAAATACTCGTGGCTTTGTACGACAGATCGATTATATTTTGCGTTTGAATACTTTAGATTTCCATTTTGGCCTATTTGAAATAGATTCCCCTCAAAAAGATACCTGAAATTTGCTTCCGCGCCGTAATGGTTCTGTATTCTTCTTGACATTAAAATGGAAATCAAAATGTATTCAATATCTCAATGTATTTGTGGGGCGTACGGAGTTTTTAAAGGCGAAAAAGAAAGTTCGCTGGCACGCTACAGGGAAGAAGAGGATGTTAAAAGGTTCGCAAAGAAGGAATAAACGGCCCTACTCAAGACTTGTACATTGGAACTAAGCGCGGCGTGATGAAGGCGCCGGGACGCAACTATTCGTGTTCCTTGGATGTCCGTGTTGCCTAGTCAAGGGATTGAAGGCGCTCCGGGTTTCTTTGCGTTCGTGGGCGTTCATAAATTACGTTACGCACTTTTTCGGCAATCTTTACCCTC